AATATGACTGAAATATGTAATACACACCGATCCTCCCCAAAACACGTGAAACTAGGCAGGAGGTGGGTGAGGGTGGTGATCTGGGGATGATAAAAGTGTGTCATGTGCGTGTACAATCTGCCAAAAGGAAACCCATTGAACTACATAACCAGTAGGCACTGATAAAAAAAAAAAAAAGAAAAGAAAATTACTCTTTGAAACCAGAAGCAAAAGGAAACAGACTTCTGGAGGAAACAAGATAGGAAAGCTGATGTGAAGGAGGTGAGAGAGGCTTTCAAACAAATAAGAGATCGTTGGAAGGGTTTTGTTTTCTTCTTTCTAGATTCCTTTCCATACTACACAGTTACTTTCATTTGTTTCCTGACTCTGAGAGCCTGACAGATAGCAGCCTTATTTTGAATGTCTCTTGTTGCTCCTGAGGCGTGCTGCAGAGGAGAAGGGATTGCTTTGAACATTTCTTGTGGATACGTGGAAGCTGTACTGTTGCTACAAGTGATTCATCTGGGAGAAATGATACATAAACAAGACTGCCTGCGAGGAAAGTAGATGTGAGGGCGAGCGATTTCAGGAGGGCTTTTCGCTCCTATGACAGCTAATGAGAAAAGCCAGCTCTGGGTTGGAGGGGTCTAGGCAGCAGAGACTTGGGAAGTTTTGGACTCTGACATTTCACAGTCAATATCAAAAGAGACATTTCTTCAGTTTCTGACAAAGGCCAGATGCCTTCTCAAGGTGATGACATATCAGTGGACTGTGTCTGTGGCCTTGTCCTGCCAATGGGTTGTGGGAAAGACAAGGTCCTGGAAGCTGACCTGGATGAGCAGGGTAGGGCAAACAAAGTGCTTAGAGTAGACAATTTAAGGAGCCACCTCCTTTCAGTCATACAAGAGCAGAGTCAGCACTTGCGAGACCCAAAAGTGAAAGCCTCCTTAAGTGATTCATTCTGGATGCCTCTTGTCTCAGGAGTCTGGGCCCTGAAAAAGAGTCGGACTCAGGCTCGTCACTGATTAGTGGAGGGATTTTAGGGAATTAGTTAGAATTAGGCTTGGTGGTAGCAGGAAAATCCCAAGGTGAGGATGGCCTCTTTGTCTATTAGATAAAAGTCTTCTAGAGTAATATGGGCCAGAGATGGCACAATGTGCCTGTCCCATAACGCTGTCAGAACTGAAGCAGAATCTTTCTGCCAGCTCTGGGGCTTCCACCTCATGGTCCAGAGTGGCAGCATCTGTGGCCTGCACTGGAGTTGTCTGTGTTCCAGGCAGAAAGATACAGGGATGCGTGAGCTATATAAATGCCTCACTGATGTCTATAAAGGGAATAACTATTGGTTACAAAAAACATGGATCAGAGCTTTAAAAACCCAAACCATAAAAGAAATATATTTTTGAGTAGTTAAATCATCTATAATTCTTATTTCTATCAGTCCCACTCCTAATTTCTACCTTGAGGATCAAATTTATTGCAAATATTGGCAAGAGAGGCACAGTCTTGCTCTCAACAATCAAAAATATTTCCAAGAGGAAGGAGAATATTCCATCTAAGGCCTTGAAGGAAGAAAATATTCTCATGTACCCTTATGAAATATTCCCAGAGTGGCAAGTTTGGGAATGAGAGAGTCAGATAGAGTGGGGTGGGAGACATGTGCAGTGTTTGCTCACCCAGCCTGCACTCCCCATTCTGGTAGCCACACCCCGAGTTTGCTTATCAACCTACCAGCTTCCACTCCTTGCATACCTGGTGGACACTGTCAGCCAGGGTATAGACGGGAGAGGCAGAAAAGTAACCCAAACAATGACAAATGTCTCCCTCTTGCCAAGATATTTGTCTCAAGTACACAAAAAACCACAGAAAAATGATTGAGGACCATTCTTTCTGACAGAGGAGTTCAGAGTCTCTGTGCTTTCCTGGACCTTGTCCATCCTGAAGCCTAACTTTTCAGCTTTTCCTTCAAACCTTGTTTATGATGACTGCCTTCCAGTAAACTCTTTCATTTAAGTTAACTAGAGTTATCTTCTGTTGCTTGCAATGGAGTCCTATAGATAACAGCAACAGTGATTTGTTTTGCTACCTAAAGATTTGGAATTACAGAGGTAGGTTACCACCTAGTTGATTCTACCTGTTTTCTTCTCCAGCATCTCTCAGACAGCACCAGAAAGGTCTTCACCCACAGTCTTATCCCTGTTCTCTTCCTGAGCCAGCTCCACAGCAAGATATGAAGAGTTTGGCTTTCTACAGGGTGGGACTTAGAATTAGGTCATCCCTTTTGTATCTGTGCTTTAGTGTCCAAAAGGCCTTTTTGGTCCTCAAGACTAAGATGAATGAAACTGAGTTGCACACAAGATACCAAAGGAAAAGCATGTGGGGGCAGGCTGAAGAATTATGCAGATGCATCATTCCAAGAAGGGAAGAAGCCAAAATGCTGTGTAGGCTTCATAAAACAAAGAAGCTAAAACAAGCTGTATTCCCCACTGCATCCCTATACCAAACACTCTGCTTGGGCCATTGGTAAGTCATTAAATATACGTTAGACAAAAGAATGATGAAAAAACGATAGTGGTGAGAAGCACTATTTGTGCTGGAAGAAACCAAGTGAAGGGGTGAAGTGACATCATGGGAATGGACAGTGACAAGGAAGCAGAATATGTGGAGTTGACCTTGAAAAGGAGGTTGGATTTTAAAAAATTTTTTGGCAGCACTGGGGATCAAACTCAAGACCTCATGTGTAAAGTGCTCTGACATTGAGCTACACCTCCCAACCTGAGTGGTTGGATTCTAAACCCCGTTTCTCAGTGGAATGATTTTTGGTCTTCTACAATAGTTTTTCTTCTGTGCTAGTTACATTTCTTAACTGAAGTCAATCCCAGGAATTCTGCCTCTTCCCCTTTTCCCATCTCCCTGATGGCTTGGCCCACTCTACCACCACGATGACGTTCAACTCATTCAACCCATTCAAGATCCTTCTCCTTGAGTGCTGCTCACTTCCCTTGTGTAATCTCTAACTGAAGGGTTGAGGCTCTAGTGCCCTGCTTTGCTCTTCCAAATCCTCATCATGGACACAGAGACTTGCTCCGTATCTTTGACAAGTCCTTAAGGTGCAGTCACCAAATTGAGGCCTCCTTCATGATGACATGGTGAATAAGGACAATAACAATATCTAACACAGATTGGGCACTTCCAAAGGTCAAGTCCTAGGAAATGCATGGTACTTTGAAAAGGATTCACCATAACTCCATGAAAGGAAAATTACTATTTTGACATGGACGGTGGTTGCTAACCTGTACTGATTCTTACATTTACAGATAGGAAAAACTACATTTTGCAACCCTCCTGCAGCTCAGAGTAGCCACAGAGTAGGAATGGAAGTTGCTGCGTGAGCTTCTGAGAAAGCTCTTTAAGGCAGTGGAATGGCTTCTACTGCAGGTCCTTTTCTCCTTCTTGGATAGAATGTGGGCATAGCAGCGAGAAGGCACCTTGTAACCATGACGGCCCTTAGAATGACGCCATATGCAAAGAACCGTGGGGCAGGAACATAGGCGGAATCTACGTCCCTACAACTGTGGAACTACCACCCTAACCTTCTACAACAGAGGAATAAATCTCTAACTCTTTAAAGCCACGTTGATTGGCTATTGTGTTTTAGGCATTAGAATCTAATCCTTGGCAATTTAATTATTATGCCCCAGGACAGACTTATTTGGTGCTCCACAAATATCTGTGTGCTTCTCCACATGCCCCAGGCACCCTTGCAGTGGGTTGGGCCATGTGCTAAGGCTGACCAATGGCCTCCACACTGAAGCAGCATAAGTCACTTTTGTGGTGAGGCACTGAAGAGCTAGGGTGCCTTCTCCAGCTGTCTCTTCTCTACCATTGCAGCATTGAAGGTCATGTGATGAGATGGAATGTCACAGGACAGAAGCAATTGGATCCCCAAGTCATTGAACATAGCAGACTTCTATTGACCTGCCTTTGGGTGACACTTTGGGTGAGAGAGAAATTAACTTTTGTTTTGCTAAATCGCTGGTATTTCAGAGTTTGTTCCCATAGTGCAGATTAATCTATTCTGACTAATATGCCCTATTTAAAAATTGGGTATATTAAGAAAGGACTATGCAATCAAAGGGCTGCTAAGTGGCCAAGTCTTTGTGACTCACAATAGCCAAATTCTACGGCATCCCCTTTCTTTAGTACTTGGTATCTCTGGCCTGTGAATGCCTGTCATTTGCTCCCATCCAGCTTCCTCCTTTTCCTCTCCTCTCTCTCTCTCTTTGGCATGCAAAGATGAGAGTGCCAAAGGCCCAAGTAGTAAGCTATGACTCTAACATCACAGAATCACTTCTAATATTGTAGTTCTGTCCTGGATTTTGAGTCCTGGCTGGTTGAGTTGGCCATGACTGAAAATGGCTACTCAGCATCTGGCTCCTCTTTAGTCTTTGGCTAAATCAGAATGCTCAAAATTCATTTTCATCTTTGGGCTTATAGTACAAGTGGTGGTCAAAATATATAGTGGATGTTTCAATTAAAAACTTATTACAGTCAAAGACACATTGCCATTAATCCCCCCTAAATCCCACTGTTCATATCTGCTCTTGCCCATTGTTCTTGCCACTTTCTGAAGTAGTTCTGGAAGTTCACTTTCCTGAGTATGTTTATGAGGTACAATCAAACATATGAATTCCGCTGCTATAACTGCCACCCAGTGGAAAGGCAGACATGTCAAAACTTTACATATGGTGTGCCCTCATCCACCTTATTCACTTGATTTGACACCATGTGACTTCTGGCTCATCCCCCAGGTCAAAATGGTTGAGCAAGATAAATGTTTTGAATCGACTACGGACACTGAGGTGGCTACAACAGTTTACTTAAGGATGCTTATGAAAGATGACTTCCAGAACAGCTTCAGAAAGTGGGAAGAACAAAGGGGTACATGTGTCCAAAGTGAGGGGGAATATTTTGAGGGAGAATGATGGGAATGTATATTTTATTGTAATACAGTTTTTAAAAATGTAAACATTCGCTGTATTTTTTGATGGAACTTCATATTTTCTCTTTTCCTTATTGAGCACAGTGAAGAAAAAAAGTGAGATTTGGCCATAATACTGTACCTGATCATTCAGTTTGGAATATCTTGTTCAGAGGAAAAATTCATGGATTTAACAGCAACTATTATGTTCCAGGGGCAGTGACAGACGTGGGGAATGTAAAGAAAGCTTTACAGCTTATACCTACTTTAGATGAGCACCTAATCTAATGTCTGTGTAAGTAAATACGATGTGAGCTCGTGTGATAAGCTCATAGAGAATCAGCCAGCATGCAGAACCACAAATAGAGGTCGTTTTTCCCACCTGGAGAGGTCCTGATCCCCAATGCGTGAGTTTTAGAGACAAGATTGAAAGGGCTGCTGAATAGTTGGTGTTGGGCTAAGCATTTTCCATACATCAACTCCTCTTTCCTCCATTACAACTGTGAAATCTATTCCACAAGTGGGAAGAGACTTGCCTAAAGCCACACGTGGGGTCCAACTCTAGAATCACAAATATATGTATATTTCCCAGTATACTCAACCAGTACCCTGGGCAAGGTAGATGGGTTTATTCCAGAAATGTAAGGCTCCCTCGCCTCATTATCCAGTGAGTTTCCCGAGCCAAGTCCTCCGCAGACCCAGCACAGCCAGAGCTTCTTGGAAATTCGGTTCTAGCTCTCAAAGCCTCCCTACCTGCTGAGTCTTACTCTTTGTGCCTGAAATAGGAGCTGTCTTGTAAACAGTGTCTGAACTCACTTCCCGGCCTCCGGCTGATAGCGCAAGGCCATTTCCAGCGCATATGCTTCCTCATCTGGCAAAAAGGAAAAGAAAAGTGTTTATACTCGGTCCCCCTTGAAGGTGGACGACGCCCATTCTGAGGTCCCAGTTGAGTTTGTTGGCTGAGGGTTTTCTAATCCTTTTCCCCTTGAGAAGAAGGGCGCATCACGTCTGCACTCGGGCGCCATCTACCGGCACTGCTTCCAGTTCCAGGAGTCCTGCACAGGAGGTGTGCTGTACTGGGCGAACTCATTGGATGAATCTTGCCGCTTCATTTGCAGATAAAAAATTATTTTTCTTGAACTAGAGGGTGACAAGTAGTAAAGAGAGTATATAGCAAATATTTTATCTCGCTGTAAAGAGACCAGAGTCTTCTGCCCTCTTTTTTTCCCACTCCACCATTTCTGACGTTCCTTCATCTTCAATTCTCTCTTCTAAAAACATCTATTTTGTTATTGTACAGATGAGGGCACGGAGCACCCAGCTGCACACCTGAGCAAACAGAAGGGTTGACGACTTGCTGGTGTAATGAGAAACATTAGTTGTGAGCTCATTACTCCAAGTCCACAGTGGGCACCAAATCCCTCTTAAGACCCAGGAGAAATCTTCAAAGGGGTGCGGTGATAGCGGGAATAACCCACAGTTGGAGGGCCAGCCTGCCAGATCAGAACTAACCTGGCCTGCAGACCTGAGACGAGTTGAAACAGGGAGCCTTATTCACCCATTTGCAGAATACGGCCCGTCCTCCTTACAAAATGCCGCAAACACACTCAGACAAGCACTGGCTGCAGTATTTGATATGTGAAGGAGAATCCTGACTCCTTCCAGGTTTCTGCCTGTCTGTTTTAAATTCAGATGGCTTGATGCAGTTATTTTTTTAAAATCTGAAATGGAATTCAAAACATTAGGGGCATCAAATCCAGAGATGGATGGGAGAGAAAATAAAAACGCCTTTGAACACCCCTCACCTTCTATTTTAAGGAAAAGGAATTGGCATTGCTTGAAAACTCAGTATCTGTCATGGTGCCACTCCAGGAGTGTGAGATTATGGAGCTGTTGGGACCTTCCACTTTCAGTGCTTTTTGTTCTCCTCTTTAGAGGGGGTTTGATGTGGTGATCAAGAGCTGACCTTCTCCTGTCCCTTACAGGCCTGGGGCCTCTGCCCTTTTTTGCAGTTACTCTGTTTCAGTCTCTTCACATAGGAATAGGCCTGTCGGGTTTAAACAAGGTAGTGCGGAAGGCACTTCCCACAGGCCTGGCACACTGCAAGAGCTGCTTAAACAAGGTCACTGTCAGTCCCCGATAGTCAGGAATTGACGTTTCTGCCTAAGAATGAAGTGGTGTGGCTTTCAGAGGAAGCCTGAGTGTCCTTCACTCACTCTCAGGTCTCTGAGGCCCTGAGCATCTGGTACTGTACTTGGGCCTGGGATGTTAAACAGCACCCTGTCTGGAAGCTCGGAGACCTCCTCCTGCTGTGGGAAGCACATGTCCTAAGCACGCTGGTCTTCTCGCTATGTCTAATACACACCTTCGCTGTACACAGGAATGCTCTGCCCACCTCCTCCTATCCTGGAGGCCTAACTGCTTCAGGTCTCAGCTTAAAGGTCACTTCCCTGGGGAGGCTGTCCCTAGGGGCCAGGCCAAGGCAAGCCTTCTCCTGACTGTTTGGGATTGCCTTCAGGGATCTTCGATGACACTGCTGTAGGCAATTTTGCAATACTTTGTGAAATGCTGGGCTGTGATAACCTATTCATGTCTCTTTCCCTTACCTGAAAACAACTAGGGAGGAACTCCATCCACTTGTCCATGAATAGTTGAGGTGTGGCTGGGGCACACTGCTTAGCGTAGTCCTTGGTGTCCCCAGTCTCTAGAACACTATCATCCCATGCACTGTCCACTCTTACTCACTCCTTGGAGGATAGCTGTCCATGTGGCCTCCTCAGTAAAGCGATTGCTGAACTGCCTTGGGTGGGCACTTGTTCCCAAGGTACATTGGTCAGTACTTGCTTCTGTCACAGCAATTAATATTTCACATACTGCCTGCTTTTGATAGTAGTATTGATGTTGTACATAGCTTCTCACCTCCAGTGTTTAGTGAGTGTCTGGCAAAGAGGAAGCATTCAATGAACATGGGCTGAACACATACAATGAACAGCATTTTCTGCTGCAGCAATGACAATTCAATCCCAATCAGCACACTAAAAATAGAAAGATTGTAAAACAACTGATGTGAGGAAGTGGTTGCCATGTTTTCTCCTATAAATGTATGAAGGCACACGGTCGGTGCCCATTTACCTTCACTGGCATTCCATATGCACAACTCTGGATTTATCATTCACTTCTTACATTTATAACCAGTTTTCATTACTAGGAATTTTTAGAGACCTCTCTTACATTCTGATTCCCAAATGCCAGGGTCTATGTTTTATAAGGAGAAAAAAGTGTCCCTTCAGAATTCAGTCATGATAACAGTTTATCTCACTTTCTCTTCCTCTTTTTACTACTTCAACAATGGAACTATCGAGCTACTGATACAGATACTGATACTGATGCAGGGAAATGAGAGGGGAGTGGAGGAAAACTCAGAGTAGAAGTGGATATATTTAGTGGCTTTCTTGATATTTTAAAATCTTGTCTAAATAACCTTCAGCTTCCTCCCATAATTGGCTTGGATGAGTCCATTTCATAACACCGCCTAATATTAGCAACTGAATTTTTTACAGATATTTTTACATTTGCTGCATCATTTAATGCAGCCATTCTGCATCAGGAAAGAATATGTTCTTGGATATGTCTCATTAAAAGAGACTGAGGACTTAATCATAAATCCTGGCTCAGTTTTAGAAAGGTAGCAGATGCCCTTATTCCCTGGTCTCTAAAGTTTGGTAATAATAACAATAATCAGAAATGGATGGACTCTGGTAGTTGGTATTTTCTATTTGACTCCAGCATCTACTTCCTCTAGGTCCTGGTCTTTCTTTGAGGAGCTCCTCCCTCCTTTGCTGGCCCTGTGGTTTGATGTGGCTCCTTAACTTTGGTTTTAGAGGTGGGCACTTGAACCACCCTAACCTTCAGCCACAGTGATGGGTTCAGGGATGGTTATAAGACTAATGAAACCCACTCCAGGAGGATAGGATGGCTTGCTGTGGCCATCTCATCCTGCGGAGAGAGGGCTGGGAGCCACACAACACTACCACATGGAGACTGAGGACAACGCTAACTCCACCTACGGCAGGTTGAGGGATGGAGAGAAATCCAAGCCTGAGGATACCATCTGAACCCTGAATATAGCCAGGTCTAGAGCTACCTCTGGCAATGGATGTTCAAAGATATATTTCAATGAAATTCTTTTTTTGATTAAACCAAGTTTTCTGTCACTTGCAATCATAGAATTCTGATACATTTATAATTTGGCAGCAGTAGGCTAAACTCTTTTATATATGTTAGCTTATTTAATCCTTACAACAACCCAATGGGAGTAGGCATTATTTACCTGCATTCCATAGTCAATGAAACTGGGGCTTAGAAAAGATAAATATCATCCCACTCACAGCTAGAGATTGGGGTTAGAATTCCGGTCTTAGCCGTTGTATGGGCATGGAAGCACGGTGGGAGAGCGGAAACATGGTCCTTTCTAGGAGTCCATTTCTCATTTAGTTCTCTCCCTACCCAGTACTCCTAAACCATTCTGTCTCCCCTTCCTGCCCCACACTTTGACTTTAAGACTTCAGGAAGATTAACAGAAGTCCCTCCACCCAGCAACTACATGGTGCCCACCACTAGTAATCCCTCAACCCAAGATTGGGGCTCATTGCGATGACCCTTGTGTCATCCTTCTGGACACCTTACTATGGAAGCCATGGCCCTTGCCTGGGCGCTGTTGACACCATCTTTCTTTTCTGGCACAGAGCCATTTTGAGGAGCTGCTTTGAGAGCACCCAGGGTAGCCAGGCTGATAGGCACCCTGCTTGGGCAAGGTGTTTCATCGCCTGGGCATTTGTGTGCAGCTGGCTCTGTTTGAAATCCTGCCTCTGTCTGACTTCACTTCCTGAATGTGCTGACAGGCCTCTGAGCCAAGCTAAATAGGTTCACAATGCCATGCCGGGGGGAGTGTTCCCTTGTGAGTGCAGCTGGGGAAACAAAACTTTTCTCCAGCCCTCAGAGAGGACCTGCTAGCCCTTATATGACCAAGAAGCAGGCCTTGTGAGACCTTGTTGAATCTTAATGGGAAATGTTTTCTTTTCAGCCACTGTGTTTGTGTGTATTCCTGTCACTTCTGAAAATGACAAATCTACAGTAAATGTGGCTAATTATTGCTTGCCTGCTCTATACAGGGCTTTAAATACACGAGCTTCCTGGCAACTTCCTGTGGTAGCTATGGCTGGCTTCATTTTTACAAAGAAAGGAATGGAAGCTTCGTGATATTAAGGAGCTTGTTCCAAAGCAGCAGAGGCCAGAGTTAATCGAGGGACATTTAACTCTAAAAGTTGTTCGTGTCTAATGCGTAATTCCTCCTTTCTCTCATCCTATGTGCTGTACTTCAATTCTTTGTGTGCAAGGGCAGCAAGGGATTCTGGGAAGGGCTGAGGCTCTGGTGCCATCCTAGCTCTGTAAAGATTGGTGAGTTAGTTTTCTTCTCTGAATCTCAGTTTCCTTGTACATAAAGTGCAGTGCTAACCACACCTGGGAGGCAGAGAAGTTGTGAGATTCAACTGAGATAGAAATTTACCGGCAGTGTGACTCAGGAGTAAGGTTGGATGTGGATAAAACAGGCTTTTTGGTTCAGCTTAGGTTTCTATCAGTCACTTATTTTGTGAACTTGAACATAGTCTGAACCTCCATTTTCTTGTAAATAAAAATAGCCCTGCTACAGTTGGATCTGGAATGTGGCCCACAGTCTCAGGTATTGAGGGACTGGTCTCTAACTGGTAGCACTATTGGGAGGTGGTGGAAACTTTAGGAGGTGAGTCTTTGTAGGAAGAAGTTAGGTCACTGGGCATGCACTCTCGAAGCAGATATGGGTACTCTCTTTCCTCTCTTGCTCCTTGCTTCCTGGTTGTAGGAGGTGAGCAGCTTTGCTCTACCATGTGCTCCTCACCATGATGCTCTGCCTCACCACAAGCCCAAAAGCAATAGAGTCAGCAGACCATGGACTGAAACCTCTGAAACCATGAGCCAAAATCAACCTTTCTATCTTTTGAGTTGATTTTCTCAGATATTTCATCACAGCAATGGAAAGCTAACAGGAGCCTTAATATCTACCTAATAAATCCTAGTACAGTGCCTGCTACAAAGTAGAAACTTATTAAATGATATCTAGTACGAATATTATATAGCTGCCAGTTTTTACTCTACAATACTCATGGCAGACACTGTTGATTCCTACTGGAGGGTACTGCTTCTACTGTTGGTTCCTACTAGAGTTAGACTAGGCTAGGTGATGCTATAATAACAAGCATCTCTCGAGTCTTAATGTTCTGAAACAACAAATTCTGTTTTCTTGCTCATGCTAAGTTTCACTACATGTATGCCCAGCAACTACAGGGAGGACTTTGATCCATATCTTTATTATATAGGGATCTGTGTTGTTGTGGGTTGTATCTGGATGTCTCTCTGAAACCTTGTATGCTCATAGCTGGGGCTTTTGAGGGTGACTGGATCATGGATGTGTGATACTGTATTAGTTCACTGATTGGTTTAGCACAGTTCTAGGTGTGGATGACAGACTTAATGAAGAGGGAAGGCCTACCCTGGGTGTGGGTGGCACCATCCAATAATAAGTTTGTAACCTGGATGGAATAAAAAGGGAAAGCAAAAGGAAGGCTGCTGGCTCCTGCCTACCATGCCGTGGACTGTTGCTCCTCTGCCATGCTGCCCTGCCTTGGAACTAGATGACTATGGACTGAAACTTCTACAAATTGTAAGCTAAAGTAAATCTTTCCTCCTTTAAATTGTGTATGTTGGTATTTTGTCCCAGCAACAAGAAAGTACTAAGACATGTGTTGATGGCCTTTGTAAGCATCCTAACTGGTAGAATTCAATTGTATAGTAGCTCAGGTGCCTATCCACTTTCTTACAAGATGTGAGATAAGGTCAGGCAAAGTTTCTTCTTTAAATATGGATCTAGGGTGAATTAATACAATCTGGAAGAAATTAGCCATCAGTAGCAGCTGTTGGAAGGTCAGTCCTTCAGAGATTTGAAAAATACCCAAATTTGGTCCAGAAGGCCTGTGAGTACCTCTAACTTGTGAAGGGAGTAACTTAATCAGTGAGCTCATAGCCCAATTTTCTGAAGCAATAATGCATCAGCCATCAGGCAATATTTTTAGTGTACATACATTAAAGAAGGTTATATAGCAAGAAGCTTTCAGAGCTTCTTAAGACTGAGTATTTGGTTTCTTACAGAGAGAAGGAATTTGTAACAGGGCAAGGAAAGTTCATTAGATATTGCTGCTTTGTTGACAAAATGTCCCAGGAGACTGTCTGATTATCTTTACTTACATGCTGTGCATATCAAAGATGATTCTGATGACCAACTCTGTTCCTCAGGGCCGTAGATGTAGAAGTAGGGATGTATAGCTGGCAAGGAACCCAAGGTCACCAGGATATCTGGTTCCTGGAACAATATAGGAAAAGAATATGGTTGCTGAAGCCTGATGACTGAGTCATGGCCTCAACAGTTGTTGAATATGTGACTCTGACAGAGCCATTTAAAATTCACCGGAAGTCCTGGCTTCTGCTTCTCTGAAGCATAGCTACTGGCAGTGAGTAACTAGAACAGTGGTGAAAATAAATGAGACAGAAGAGGTTAAAGCATTTCAGAAACTACAGGAGTAAGAACTGGTGAGTACAAAGCTCATTGCTCTGCACTCTTCCATTTGCTCTCTCCACTCCAGGATGTGGGCCCTTTGCAGCTCGTACACTATTCTAGAATCTTCCCTGAGCTTTCCCCCAAGCTGTGATCACTGCTCCTCACTTGTCTCTTCTTCACCTGGTGAACTCTTTCTTGCTCACCTAAGTTCTCAGCTCAGTATTGCTCCAGGAGGCCTTCTTTGCTCCCAACCCAGCTTAGATTTCTTCTTTCAGTGCACAGTGCTTCTTCATTGCATTGTCTGGGTTCAACCATATGCTTGCTTGTGTGTTTTCCCATTTATTACCACACTTACTAGATTATAAACTCCAGAATCCTTTGGATTTCACTCTCCAGTGTGTTCCTCAGTACCTTGCATAACAGAGGCATTCAATAGTGAGTGTAAAGCATTATTACTTAACTCTCCAACATAAATATAAACAAACTCTTTATTAATATACAAAAGAGTTTGTGTCATTTGGGTCACTTAGTCCCACTGAGCCTGAACAGTTCTGGATAACTAGACAAAGTCAGGTATGGGTCCTACTGCAGTCAGGATCCACTCTGTCCTCTCACCTCAGGAGCCTGGATGAGGTGGTTGCAGGCCTATTTCTTTTACCTGCTGCTCCAAGCTTCTTGATTCTAAGCATTTGGTATGATGGCTTTCCTTTAGGATGTTACACTGACACAGGGGCGAGGACAACTGAAGTGTGCAACAAGTAGCATAGGTATAAACCAAGCTTCCTGACATCCCTCTTCAGGTCTAATTTGTCAGAAAGTTGTACAAGGAGAAATGTGGCATGATATCGCCTGGACAAAACCATCTTCTTCCCATTTCTCCCCAAAATGTAAGACTGCTTTAAATGCCAGGCACTCTAAATTAAACCTTTGTGGTATTACTTCCCTTACCTAGAATGGCTATGTTCCTGCTCTGCTTCAAATCCTCCTACATTTCTCCATCATTTATAAAATAACCTGGAATTGATGTTCCTGCACAGCCTAAGCCTTACCTTGCTCTTGTGCTTCCTCCCTCCTCTCTTTTGTTCTCACACCTTCATTCTCAGTCTTTCCAGTTTACAAGTCCTTCAACGCACAGTGTTTTCTCATGCTTTTGTGTCTTGGATACAAATTTCTCTTCCATTTGACCCATGTAGAAGTGGGGGGTAGAGCCAAGGGGTAAGGTGGTCTTGAAGGCCTTGTCTTAGTCTCAGATTCAACAAATGAACTTCTTTCTAACAATAAGAGGGCATGTACTGCAGCAAGCAAACACTGGGTAGGGTATCAATTCCTAGAGCCCTGAAATACATCTAACTTTATAAACAGAAAGTCTCCTTTGCATTATCACAGAAGTTGGTTGTTTTTATTAAAGTCACACCTGGAGCTATTTTTTGTGCCTACTTAATGATACACATTATCCTTCCTCATCTCCACCTCCAAGCCTAATATTTTGGGAAGATTCATTTTAAATAACAAGATGCCCATTTATATTAGTGGAGGTAGGAAGAAATGTTCTGGGTGGCTAGATGTATGAATGTGATAACAGCTTAATTCTTTTAAGAACATGCATTGAGAATTAATAGTATAGAACTTAGTGACTGGCTGGGTTTGACTTTTCTGGTGGGGCCTGTGACCTATCTGGAACTGTGCACCAGGATATGAATGCAGTATATATTTCCCTAGAAGACATTAAGACTTGAACCATGTTGGAGAAGGATTTAATTCCCTTGTTCATTCAGTCATCAAAATTTTACTTTATGAACATCTACTATGTGTCGGCCACTGTATCAGGAGTGTAGGGATCCCCCGATGAATAGGATAGGACCAGGAGACACAGATGTGCACAGTGATAATACATTTTGGTAAGTGCTAGCATAGAAGTTTTGAGAAAAAGTTATGATGTTTGGAGGGGAATTATTCATGCCACCTGAACATGGAGTCAACAAGGAAGGCTTCACAGAGAAGGTACCACTTATGCCAAGAAAGTGCTGAAGAACAGAGGATTCACCTGTTGTACCAGAAGGAAAGGTATTTATTCCTGGCAAAGGAATGAGCAGAGGGTTGTCAGCAGAAGTTTGGAAGGGTAAAAATGCATGGATCCAGTTTTTTATTTACCAAGATATGTTTCTGAGAGTGAGCATGTAGCCATTCAGTTCAGGGCTTATTTACCTTTTGTGAGACAAAGTGCTCTGGAAAAGCCTAATCAAAGCTAATGATCTCTCTCCACACACACACCAACCCCAGGAAAGTGTGTTGCCTCCTTGTCTCTCTCTCCTCTCTCCCCTCCTCCCCCCTTTCCTTTTTATTGTTTTCATGAACCTGTGTCCCAACTGACACAAAGTTAAGAACTCATGATTGAAATATATGTGTATAACAAATTAATCAAGGATAATGACCATATATGTCATTAGCTTCATCCTCTTTATGCTACCCAAAGAATAACTCATGAAGGTCCACAATAAAATTAATCACTGAATGTGTTTACAATTAGCCGATTGTTTCCAAAGCTTACACGATGTCATTGGTTAATTTCCTCTCATACAATTATTTTCCCACACCTTTGGTTTGGAATGGTCAGAATTTCAGGGAGATGCATTTAGAATGTTAGCTGAAAAAAGTAACTAAGCCTGAGTTTCATACTTTTTCTGTTTTTAAATGCTGAAGTCTAAAGCATTCTGAGTGGTGTGTGCTCTTCTTTACTGCACTGTTGCCTGGGCTTCATCTACCTTTGCAGGTAATTAATTCCCTAGCCTGCTTTGTTTTCTAGTTGGCTCTTGTTTAGCTTCCACAGAGCTCCACCCCAAAGTGCTTTATGGTCCCTCTGCTAACTATTCCTACATATGGTCAAAATCAACTCACCTTCCGGGTTGCTGACACCAGCAACTTCACTGTTGGGCAAACACAGCTCTGCTTGCAGTAACCCTTTGTTCAAGAAGTGTTATTATGAGTTTATCTGATACCCACCAGGCCTGTCTTCCACTCGGGGATTTGCTTCTAAGGAGAAACTCTGTATCAGGACTCACAGCCACAGGCAGGTTACTAGCACTGTCAGACCTGTGGGGTACTAGAGCACTGCTAAGGAGCAAACAGCCCTGCCTCAAGTAGTGGTTTGTGGTATTCCTGGATAGCGAATTGTTTTTGCTGCTTGCAAATCATACTTGCTCTTGGGATGAAAAGCAACCAAGCAAAAATTGTTCCCTTATTGAGCACTGCCTTGTTGATCTCCTGAGTTTTATCTGTAAAAAGAATTTAAATTTGCTATTTCCCCAGAGCTGAGGTTTGCTTTACACATGTACTCACTGTGTTGGTGTTTGTCTTCTCTTGTGAATCTTTCCATACTATTTAGATTAGCATCTTTTGAGACTGGGCTATAATAATTATTTAAACTAGGCTATTTTAGAAACACTTTCAGAAATGAATATGGATCCAAAATGATAAACTGCTATATTGGTAATTTCCTTAGAAATAGGTGTTTATTTTAGGGATGGGAGCTGGGAAAAGTGGGAGTGAGGGGAGGGAGACGGGAAGGGAAGAAGCAGGGAGGGAGCAAGAGAGGGGGAAACAGACGCGGTTGGGTTCATCCAGATCACAACTTCTATTTTGACTTTTAAAGTCTGCTTCATAATTACTGAGTAACTTCAGATTGCAGACCTGGTTACCCCAGCAACTAAAAACAAAAGCTTCAGTATACAGCGTGGGAAAAAAAGTAGTAAAGGAAAGAGTTCAAGATTTGTTAATAGTATTTGAGTACCTTTATTGTGACAAGAATGCCGTTATAAATATTCATAAAGCAAAGACCATGTTTTTAAAAAAAATCTAGGAATTAAGATTCCAAATTGGATACATCTTTTATAAAATCTGCCACAAGTTCCTGCTTCTCTACAAACATTATCAATGGTCATGACACATGCCACTTGATACAATCCCAAACCTTGAAGTATTGGCATTACCCGAGCTGCCCCCCTCCATACCAGCCTCCCTTCTTCCAGCTTCCTGAAACAACACATGGTCTTTTGGAAAGCAGTTCCTTACAGACAGCAGAGAAGGGATGAGCATAAACTGTTGATAGCATCAGGTGTATTTGTTCCTAAAGTCTAGTAGAGAATACAGTTTATACTGCTTGATATAGAGAAGCACTACAAGTGATTTTAACTGACAACTCTTTCAACTCCATCTAGATAGCTTTATAGATAAGGCAGAAAAGAGGTTGGGGGATACTTTTCAATATTTTATTGTATTTTCTTAAATATCCCTTCTGGAATTTTCAGAAACAAAACATAAAAAAATTATATACTTTTTTACAAGTGGTAAACTCAGAGTACTCCAAATCTCTTATTTACAAACAACACTGGGCAGGACACACAAACATGAAATAACTTACAAAGGCCGGAAGCTGTTTTATTGACAGTAATCAGCTTTTATCAAATTAAAAAATATATATATATGTACACAAACAGTTGAGGAAGGCAGGCCAGAAAGAGATCACCTGCAGGCTCAGCCTGGCCCTCACACCCTCCCCCGCTCCGCCCTCCCCTTTGTGTTCTTAAGGAGCACTACAGAAGCAATCTACAGTCTCTATTGCAGCTTATAACCCCCCTCCCCCGCCCCCGTTTAATACTGAATGAGATCGAATGTTAGGTCCATGCAGTTCTTGGTCAATGTTAAAAAAAAAAGTCCATAGCCCAGTTCGCGCGGGGACAGCCCGTCCGCAGTGGGGGCAGCCCGCAGGCGGCCACTCGCTCTGGGGCTCCAAGCCAAGGCGAGCGCGCCAAGTCCTTCCCACTCGTGTCCGCTGGGGGCGCCGTCAGGACGCAACCCAGTGCAACTTGCATACCCTTGGCTTCAGTCCTCGGACACTTCTTTCTCTGTCACAAACTGTCAAGTTCTCAAGTCAGTCCGTGTTACTTTGTTTCAACGCTGCTCTCACCCTCCATAGTCTCTCAAAACGTCTGCAACTGCTGTGTTAGCATGAGCTGGCACCCACTGTTTACGTGGTTCATGACTTTCTGTTTAAGCTGCGCCACCTGCTCCCTGAGCATGTTGGCCGTGGACGCCAGCTCCGAGTTCTGCGCTTTCAAGGTCTTCACTTTTTCCTCCAGCCGGGCAATCCTCTCCAGCTTCCTCTTCCTGCACTTGGAGGCAGCGATGCGGTTCCTCATGCGCTTCCTCTCGGCCTTGATGCGCTCCTGGGACTCCATGTCGATGGGGGACAACGGCGGCGTCTCGCCGGGCATCTCGGGCACCGTCTGCGGCTCCTCCTTCAGGGCCTGCAGCCGCGGGTGCTGCACGGGGAGCTGCTGGGGCAGAGGGTGCGGCGGCGGCTGGGGCTGGGGCTGCGCGGGGAAGGCCAGGCCGGCCCCGCCGTAGGAGGGCGCCCCGCCGCTGGCGCCGCTGGCGCCCAGCGCGCCAGGGTTGAAGCTGCTGAGGTTGGCGTAGACAGGCGGCTCACTGTGCAGCCCGAAGCTGCCGCCGCTGCTGCCGCCGCCGCCGCCCGCCGCGCTCACGGGCTGCGCGGCCGCCGCGGCGCTGGGCAACGTGTTCTGGCTGTGCAGCTCGGCCAACGCGCGCACGAAGCCCTCGGCGAAGCCCTCCTGCTCGTCCGTAACGTTCTTGGGGCACAGGAACTGCGTGGGCGTCGGCGTGGTGGTGATGTGCCCGTTGCTGGACTGGATGATCAGGCGCTCGAGCTCGGGCGACGCTAGCTTGAGCAGCCCCACGTCGGGCGAGGTGAGCAGGTCAGCGCTCTTGGCGCGCAGATGTGGCTTCAGGCTGCCCGCCGGGTCGGCCAGGTTCAGGGTCAGGCTCTGCTTCAGCGCCTTGGGGTTGCCATAGCCGTAGGCGCCGCCATCGGACGGCAGGAACGAGGCGCTCAGGGCGTCGTCGTAGAAGGTCGTCTCCATCTTCGCGCTCATAGAAAGCCCGGCCCTCCGCGCGAGTCGGCCCGGCAGCACTCGGGCGGGAGGGACGGAAGTTGGGGCCCGGCCGCGCCGCCTCCCAGCCCGCGGGCGCGGGGTGCAGGCGCGCCGGCTCCTCTGCGGGAAAGTCGCCTCTCGCGGGCGCCTCCGGCGACGGTCCCTCCTGCGCGACCCTCCTCAGCCCGCGCGCACAAGTCCGCAAAAGTTCGCTCTGGGCCGCGGGGCCGCTCTTCTCCGAGCTCCCGGCAGGGAAACTTGCCGCCGCCGCCGCTGCTCTCTGCGCTGTCAGCCGCACCCGGGCCGCGGGGATCTCCTCCGGGGCGGCCGGAGCAGGGGCTCTCCAGGCGCTCCCCGAAACCCCGGGCCGGCAGCCACAGGCGCTCGCTCCGGGCAGGTGCCGAGGAAGTGGGAGGGAAAGCGGACTTGCAGACCGTACCCTCTACCGCCGGCTGACTAAGTCAGTCTGTCTGTCTGTCCCTCTGAGCGCGCGCACTCCACTCCCGCCGCGCCGCCTCAGCCACACTCAGTGCAACTCTGAGCCCTAATCCAGCCCGAGCTCAACACTTATCTGCTACCAGTCAACCCCTAAAAATAGCCCATGATGTCACCCCAAGGCCTTCCCATTGGCTCGCGTCGCTCTCAAGGGGGCGGGCCCGCCCGTCGCCATGGAGACCCCACCCTAGAAGATTCTTCTTCGGGCGCGCGGAGGCTCACGGGATGAGGTAATGCTCCGCTGCACTCCTACAGTTGGGCCGTCCCGGACCCCCTCACCCTCTCGGCCCGCTCCCGGCCCCTCCCCTCCCCACGCGTCCAGCCGGCCGGCCCGGTGCATTGTGGGCTGACGTCTTGGGGTTTGACGTCCAGTGACGGGCGCCCGGCTCGCACAGAGGCAGGCCCAGAGTCTGGCCCCAGCCGGGACGCGGGACGCGGGCGGCCGGGCGGGACGGACGCGCTGGGAGTGCAGGCCCCCGCGCGGGGGCGAGAGGCGAGCCCCTGCGCCCCGCATTTACGAACGTGCGCTGCCCTGTGGAGGCCCGGGAAGGACTGGGCTGGGGTTCAGGCAGTCGTGGCCCGGCCCGCGCCGAAGTTTGTCTGGAGAGCGTTCGGCTGTGCGCGGACGGGCTGCGGCCCGCACCCCAGTTCATCCGGTGCCGCGGGGCCCACGGCTGAACTCGGGGTGCCCTCAGTGGGGGTGAGCGGCGAGGTGGTTTCCAGATGGGCGCGGGCGCCGTCTGGGTCCGCGGCGGGGACACGGGCCGTGATGCCCGCGCTCTGCGCTCTCGACCTCCCGCCCGGTCCCTTCCCGGAACCCTGGTCCGAGCCGCACCCGGGACCCCGCGGGTCTCCCTTCCCGCTGGTTGGAGGGCCGCCCTGGGCAGCCTCTAGGAAGCGCTGCACACTTACTTGTAAGTGGTTTCGCTCCCTCCGGCGGTGAGATTCCTCCTCCCACCCCTTAGGGACGAAAGTGTGTGGCAGAGAGAATACCGAAGCTGGGAATCGTGCCTCTCTCCTGGCTGGGCCGCCATGTGTCAAGTGTGCAGAGCGCGAGCCTTCTCCGAACCTCGTGCTGGGTCTGCAAGTGGCGCTGGTGACGTCTACCTTGGGCTTCCAGGAGTTAATGTAGGGATGTCACTGAGAAGTCCCCTGCCCTGCCCTGCCCTTCCTCTGTCCCGGAGCCTTCGATGGAAGGCCGGGATAGTGTGATTTGGCAGGAGTGGGTGTACTTTGCAGTGAGGAGCGGAGAGGAGTTAGGGCAATAACCAACGGGTTAGAAGTCAGCTCTGTCCGACGCCTTCTATCGGGGACTAGGGTTGAGGGTGGACCTGGGGCAGTTTAAACCCTTGGGTTCTAATCTAGACTTCTCTAAACTTGGGATTTGGGCCATGGGTTCATGGCTTGGGGGCTTTAAGGTGTTTGTGGCCTTGAGAGTTCAGAAACCAACAGCGGCTGGTATCAGTGGGAAATGGGCCAGCTTCTCTTGACTCCAGGCACTCACCTGGCTGCTTTCACTCATGGCAGAGGATAGCTGGCTGCTGCCAGCCAGGCCCTGAACCGGGCTGGGGGCGGGGAAGCTCCACAGTGATGACAAGATCAGTTACTTCTCCCAAGGAGGCAGCATTCTCCTCTGTCTGTTGCCAGAATCATTTTCTGTTGTAATTAGGGAGCTGGTGTTCTAAATAATGCTTTCTGATAACAGTAATAAAAATGAGTTTCATGTATTAAACACCTACTATCTGCCAAGTATTCATCTAAGCAATTTATGAATACTGTTTTCTCCCCACAACCATCTTGAGAGGCTTATATTACTACCCTGGCTTGACATATGAGGAAATAGGGCCAGAAAGTTTCAGTGTCTTTCTCTGGTAACAGAGACAGCTGGAAATTGAATCTCAGGTCTCTGTTATGTTTCCTTGTATTTTCTCTATTCTGGCCAACTTCCTTGTGAAGTATTAGTTATCTGCAGAGGTGGTGCCTGAACCATAAAAGAAATGTTTTTGCCTGAACCTCTTTGTAACTTGTTTTTTGGGGGAAATCCTGCATTTAGAAGCTTAAAGACTTAGGATTTGTTATAAATATGTATCTTTTGCCTGAGAGTTCTGTGTGTTCCTCTTTGCCTTATGTGGTTTAGTAGGCTGATTTTGTCCTTAGGTTGAGAAATAGCATATTTCATCCAAAACGTAACAAATCTGTTTGTGTTAGCGCCCCAGCTTGCAAGCCTTCACTGGCTTCCTCTTACGGGCAGTAGAGAGTTCTAAATCCTTTGCTGGATGGAAGGGGCCTTTCCTGATCTAGCTGCTACTCTCGAGACTTCATCTGTCACTCCTGGCTCTCCGGAAAGGCTGGGTTACCCTACCATAGTGTAACTAGCAAACCTAACATTTCAGGGGCTTAACCCAATGAAAGTTTATTTCTTGCTTCTGCTGCATACTCAATTTGGTCTATAGGGGCACTCTGGTCACTGTAGGCCAGTGATGGCGAACCTTTTAGGGGTTTGAATGATAACAAACACCCTGCTGTGGCACCCATGCCATAGGTTTACCACCACTACTTGGCACTCAAGAGATCCGGTTGAGGAGCCTCCATCTTGTCTTATGCTTCTCACAACTCTCAGGAGAAGGAACTCAGCTAGTCACGGACTGGCTCTCAGCATGTCCACCTAGAAGTGGCAGACGTCATTTCTCATGGACCGTTTGCCATACCCCTTGAGTCTTGTCGTGCTGCTGAGTGTCTCGGAGGGCTTTCCAGGAGCTTTTGGGGGACACCGATGACTCTGACAGTCTCCCTTTCTGTTCACCCAGTGTTAGGTCACTCTCCTCCCATGGATACAGTTTCTTTTTCCTCAAGGGAGTCAACCCTAAAGAACCTTCCAACCATAGCATGAAGCTCACTTTCTGGTTGCTGCGGGGTAGAATCTGTCAGGTCCGAATGCATCTGCTTTTTCTCTGCAGGAAAGATACCCTGCACACCCCCTGCATGTGCCATGGGGCACAGATAGGATCCCCATTGGAAAGGGGAGGCATGGTGGCTGCAATAGATGCTGGCCCTTGACATCTTGAGGACCTACCCCATCCAGTTCCTCAAGCAGACCCTGGTTCTGCTCTGAGGTTAAGTGCACCGTCTGTTGTTTTCCGTGGCCTCTGGATTTGCCTCTCAGAGAGTCTTCCTTTTCTACATTATAGTGGGCCTCAGGAAATAAGCATTAGAATAAGCTAGAAATGCGGAGGATGCAGGATGACAATAAGTCCTGGAGACAGTCTCCTTCAGTCCAAACTGATGTTTGGGCAGTGTAATTCTTACAAAGATGCAGGCCCCTTCTATTTGGTACCAGCTGTTCCACATGCCACTAAATACAGTTCTTCCTTAGGCATGCTTCAATGTTTTGCCATAGTTCTTTCCTTTCCTGTTCTCATATCTCTGTCTCCTCTTGCTTTCAGCTTGCTTTTGAGTGGTTTAGGGTTACTGGGTGTCAGTAGGACGTTCACACTTTTCCTCTTTTCCAGAGCATTTGTGTGCAGATGAAAGCATATGCTAGGTAACATCTTAATTTGTCCTGAAGTTTTACTAATAGGTTCATACACCTTGAATTGATCCTATGTCAAAGCTGATTTTTTTCAAGGCCCTTTCTTACAGAAAATGTCTTGATTTTTGTATTTTATTAGGTAGGATTGAAAAGCAGTTGCTTTTTCTAACCCCCCTCCCCAACCCCTGAATTTATAGGTTGTATCTATGCCCTTTCATTCCTACTTAGAAAAGTGTGTGAAACTTTTCTGAACTCATCTCTTTTTGGTAGTAACTTCCCAAATGCATCCAGCAGCACATGCTGCTAACATTGTCTTAACTTTAACACTGTCTTGCTTTAGTTCTGTGGGTTCTTGTGCTGCCTTCTAAATTATCACAGGTGATATTTTCACCACATACATCCAAGTCCTATTAGTTTCTGATAACTGTATTCTTAGTTATTGTCCTCTGTTTGAATGTTCAGTTACTATTGTATTTATTGTTGCATTGCCCCATGTCCAGGTTCCACTTTGTATCAATAAGTAGAGGCTAGGTTGTGGCACTATAATAAACAATCCTAAAATCTACCAGTGCCTTAACAATGAGCGAATCCTCCCTCTCTCCTTGGGATTGAACCCACAGCCTTACACATGCTAGGTAAGCACTCACCAAACTACATCCTCAGCTCTGAAACTATTTCATGCTCATACTGTGTATTCAGGGTCAGAGGGGCTGTGCGTCACTCAGAAACCTATTCAGGAGAGGGTTTTATGTTGACCTGTTTCCAGTCATTCCAGTCACTTTGGTGGGGAAAAAAGCGTGATGAGTCTCTGTTGCTTTGAAAGCTTCCTCCCAGAAACATGGTTCTCACAGATTATTGGCCCAAACTACTCACGTGAGCTTGCCTGACTTAGAAGGTGGAAGGGAAGTGCAGTCGTACTACTGTGTGCGTAGAAAACAAGGGGCTGGGACAGCTGCACACTTCATCCAGGCTAGGTTATGCAGTGCTACAGTTCGCACCTCTTCCTGCAGTGCAGCCATGGAGTGAAACCTTGCTTGTACCGTCTGTCCCTCACAAGTTGGCTGTGCCTCTGCTTCACACGCCTCTGTGCCCCAGGACCCTGGCCGACAGAGGACCCTCTTTCTAAAACATTGCTGATTGTTATGGCAGACAGAAAAGAGTGTGGCTCCTAAAGCTGCTGCTAAGAGCAGTTCACATGGCCAAGCCTGATGTCAGTGGGGAGGGACAGCAAGTGCTTGTGAATAGTAATGCAGTTCACCACACCCTGCATGCCACATTCCCTCCATTCCTCTGAGTCTCAGCCACTCCAAACATGTTCCATTCCTCTTCACAGTTTTCCTTCTTTCAGTTTACTTCTATTTATCTCAAGTATGAATTGGCAAGCTCCTATTCACCCTTCAAGACCCAGCTCAAGAAATTCTCTCTGAAGCGTTTCCTCATCCGGTGTCCCGCCTCATCCCCAAATAGTTATGATTCTCTTTGGCTCTCACCATACTGGGTATATACCTGAAGGACAGAATGTCTACCACATCATCTATAAATGTCTTCTTAAGTCCCAGACTCCAAACCCAGAAAGTGTCATCCTTATTTTGTTTCTCCAGTGTTTAATAAGGTGGCTGGCACATGGAAGGACAGCAAGCACTTGGTAAATGTTGTTGATGGCTTTTTTTCCAGAGCAGAATTAAGGGAGTATTTTAATAGTCAAGTAGCAATAGTAGCTTGTTTTAGTATTTGGAATATATCACACTCCTCTGATGAAATGTTAGCCTGAATCACTAGTACTTCCACTCTCAGCAGAAGTATCCTCACTGGCTCTGGCTGTATCAGAATCACCTAAGTTATGTTATCATAAAAAATAATCCCCAGACTCAAGTGGCTTAGGACAGAGTTTTATGTCTTGTCCAGCTAGGCATCTATCCAGATTGGCAGTTCTCTATTCGTGTCTCCTTCCTCAGGGGCTCAGGCTGATGGAGTGCCCACTTGGAGGAGCCTAACTGATCTCATGATGGGGGGAGAGGGGTCTCCAAAGGGTCTCATCTGGGTAATTAAGTGCTTAAAAATGTCACTGGTCATTTCTCCTGATTCATTGGCTAAAGCTACTCTCAGGGCCTTACCCAGCCACAAGGGAACCAGGAAGTGCAATCTTGTTTGCCAGAAGGGCAGAGAGCTGGAAGGATCTGGTAGCCAGTCCTGATGACTCCCACATAGGCCTTTATTGGTTCCCCAAACACGATAAAGTCTTCGTTGCCTACAAACTTTTATGCGAGCTCTCTCTACTTCCTCTTCCTTGGCAGGTTTCTGTGTCCTTTGGATGTTAGCTTAAGTCGTGCTTTCAGAGGTTTTTAGTCCCTTCCATACTGTACCCTCCTTGCTCCTAAATGAGATTCCCTTCTTACACTCTCTTAAAAGTCCCTATAATTTCTGTTTGTGGTTGTTGGGATCCGAAGAGGGTGGTGCATAGCATCCCCTTCTTTGTTTCTTGAGTCCAGACTCAGCTGAAAGTTAGATATGAGAGAATCAGATGAATGGGGTTCACCATGTCACCTTCCTGGCTGACACAGATTGGACTGGAGGGCAAGGCAGGCATGAAGTCTTCCTGTATCTCCTGAGCCTCACTCTTGAATTAAATTTGCCAACTGGTCCTGTCGTCAAAGATGGCAGTTGCAGGCTACTTCCAAAGGGAAGTATGCATCCTTTGGGTGAGTTGACCCTAAGAAGAGGGAGCAGGTGGCTGAGGTGAGCATGCTTGGGTTTCTCTTCTGAACTCAACCATCAGGTAACTCACTCTCCTTTCCATTGGGAGTAAATAAGACTCGGGAGAGGAGACAAAATGGTTACTCTTAACACACGTTCCCTCATGGAAAATTGAAGCCAGTGATTTCCTCTTAGCAACAGACTGTGATTTTTATTCCATATTTTTTTGTATACATTTTTTATCTTTTAAAAGTCTATTTCACCTACCAGAGGCCAAGCATGAGGAAGGCAGAAAGTGTCTCTTGGTCTCTGTGGTAGCCACAGTATCTAGAATGATACCAATAGGGAGGATACCCAGTACATCTTGGTTCTTCATCAGAGGCTGCAGGAATCCTCTGGGACCAACTAGGTCTTTATTAAGGACAAAGATGATAGCTTTTCTGTACTCAGAACTTCAGGCAACTTCGGGATTATAAGTAGCCAGAGTCCTTCAAGGTTGCCTCTCAAGTCCTGCCCTTCTCCCAGTCTGGCACTTTGTTGGGCAGTATCTTCACTACTGAAGTACTTGTAGTCACAGAGTAAGGATGCGAGGCCCAGAGCTGGGAGTATGCTGTACTTCTAGGAAGCGCTGCTGGCTGGACGCCATCAGGAATATCGTGAGTGTCAAACTCAGAAAGCATTGTTGGCCAATCAGAGACCTGAGGGTAGGGTGGCCATGGGGGAAGGCCTGACCCTGGGGGAAAGAGTCCATTCCTTTCTGCAGATAGTGGAGCCGCTGTAACGTGGGCAAGATGGCTTATTCTGTAGGCTTTGAGGTCAGAGCTAGGGTATTGGTTAGAATTTAGTGAAGAAAACGTAAAGGAAGAGGTTTCTGAAGTTGAGTTATTCATCAATAGGATCGTTGCCTTGAAGTTCCTGTTCTGAACACATTTATTATCTACTGCATCTCAGAAATTAAGTTAGTTTGTGATAATTCCTAGGGATCCCTAGTACTTAAGGTCATCATTTTATCTTTATATTTCATAAACACCATATAGAAAATATCATTTAGAATTTGTCTGGGAGTAGTCACCATTAGTGGTCTCTCAGTTTTAGAGCTGACACTATTTTACTCAAAATTTGTAAACCTGGGATGGAACTTTCTCATGTCCAGGGTTAGGTGGACAGTCTTCTATCAAAACAAGTGTTTTCCGTATCCATAAATCAAAAGTACCTGTACTTT